GTCCTGCATGATTCTTTTTCAAGCCACCAAACCTGGGACTCAGACTGCACAGCCGGCCATGTGGGATCCAGTGTGTACCTCCATGACACTTGGCTCCTCAGTTAAGAGTTTTTTTGCAAATATTTACTCCCAGTCTGTGGTTCATCATCTCATTCTCTAGACAGTGTCTTGTGGAACAGAAGTTTCTAATTTTAATGAAGTCTAGCTTATCAATCCTTTTTCATGAATTGCATCCTTGGTGTTTTATCAAAAAATCATTGCCAAACTCAAGGTTGTCTGGATTTTCTCTTGTTTTATTTGTAGGCGTTTTATCATTTTGTTTTACATTTAGTTTGTGACTTATTTTGAGTTAACTTTTTTGTAAAGGATGTGGTTAGGTCTGTGCGTATGTTTATGCTAGGTTTATTTTTTGCACATGATGTTCACTTGTTCCAACATCATGTTTTTGAAAAAGATGCTCTTTGCTCCATTGCATTGTCGTTGCTCCTTTGTCAAAGATCAGTGGACTACATGTAGCACTATTTCTGACCCATTTCACTGATCTATTTGTCTTTTCTTTTGCCAATATCACACTGTCTTGCTTACTAGAGCTTCGTATTATGTCTTGAAGTTGAGTGGCGCCAGTCTTCCAACTTTATTCCTCTCCATATTGTGTTGGCTACACTGGTCCTTTTGCTTCTCTGTAAACTGTAGAATCACTGTGTCAATAAACGCAAAGTAATTTGCTGAGTTTTCTTGTTTCATTTTTGTTTTTGCCGGAAGGTGCATGCACTCACCGGAGACAGAGGGAAAGCAAGTAATCACCTCCCAGGTGGTGATTTCTCCTCCATTTTCCTCTCAGGATTTTAGCACATGCCCAGTGTTTTCCAGCCGCTGGGTCTAGGATTCCGATCTTGGTCAGCCATGTGGGGGTCCAGTGCCTTAACCACAACGCCACCTGCTGGTCCCTCTGAGTGTTTTTTTAATTTATTTTTTTTTTTATGTCAGAGTGTGCTGTGTCCATGTGAGAGGATGTGGTCCAATTCCACAAACCGTGATTGGTCACATGGGATTTGGCTTTCTCTGCAGAAGCTGAACTACTGCCCAGGGGCTGGCCCTAATGGGATTTCTATTGGGATTGCATTGATTCTTCTTGGGAAGAACTAATATCTTGACAATATTGGATATCTTGAATATAGACTATTTCATCATTTTGGTGCTTTTTGATTTTTTTATTGAGTTTTTTAGCCTTCCTCATATAGGTCTTATATGTATTTTGTTAGATTTATGCTTAAGTATTTCATTTTGGTGAGTACTAATGTAAATGCTATTGTATTTTTAATTTCAAATTATACTTGTTCATTGCTGATACATAGGAAATCAGTGGACTTCTGTGTATCAACCTACAACCTACAATTTGACTTTTCCTTTTTTTTTTTTTTTTTTAACAAGTGCGTGCTGAAGAGACAGAGAAAAAGTGAAAAATCACTCCCAGATGAGAATGGCCATACTAGTCCCTATGTACCTTGTATGAGTCTCTCTCTCTCTCTCTTTTTAAGAGTTTAGAGGTTTTTGTTTGTTTCCATAGGGCACATGCGCTTGCCAGAGAGAGACAGACAGAAACAGAAAATGAGAAATCATCCCCAAAGGGTGGGGGGGATGATTATGCTGCAATCCTTTCTCCTCCATTCTCCTCCTGGGATCTTGGACACTCATGCACATGTGCCCAGAATGATTTTCAAGCCACTTGGTCCAGGACTCAAACCACCATCGGCCAAGTGGGAGTCCAGTGATGTCTCCCCCACATCTGCTGGCCCGGTGAGTTTAAGTGACTCTGACTGCAATTGACTGTGTGGGAGTTCAGTGCCTTAACCACTCACTGGCCCCTTTTTTAAGCCTCCTCCTTCCCCATGTCTGTTTTTCTGAGTCATTGCTTAGCGTCACAATCAGCTCCTCTCTGGGTACTCCCTTCCACCTTAGAAGACTCAGGGTAGCCTCCAACCTAATTAGACTCATCATCACAAGGGACTGCAGATACTTTGCCATAAGAAGGGTCCCCACATGACCAGAATGGGTGTGAATGAAATGTATGGATGATACTGAACATCAGTCTTATAGAACTATTTCTTCTTCCTTTCAGTAAAAGAAACCATAGGCAGAAAAGCAGAGAAAACAAATGCTTTATTTAGGGGACAAATTTGTATTTAGGAACATTTCATTTTCCCATTCAGGGAAAAATCACGTCAAGGTTTGATAAAAATAAACATGTCCTTTGAAAATCCTGGTGTGCAATGTCATGCTTATGTTGCTTGTTGGGTACCATGGAAACACACAATAGCTTGTAGTAGATAAAGGCCTAACAGGGAAGAGACCAAAGGGCAGGTCTGAGCCCCTCCCCCCCTCCCTAGCCAGATGAAAAAGAATTCTGATTGGTATTTGCTATGGAAAAAAAAACAAATCCTTTTAAACAAAGCTCTTTTCTCCAGAGGCCCCACATTTTCTCCAAAATAAAGAATTCATAGATTTTAGCCACCTTTAAATTATGAACTCAACAAATTTTTGGAGTAGAGTTTGTATTAGGGAAACAGAGATATAGATACTTGAAACAACATTTAGACCACACAGAGAAAATAAGCACATCATTCAGTGGTGATGGTCTATAAATGGCCTTGATGCAAGAAGCCCTGGACACCTGATTTAAATCTCTCCACTCACAGTCCAACAGCTGTCAAAGCTAGTGTTTATGGGGCTAGTCTCAAGTAGCTGTTAAGCCATGGGAGTTCTTAAGATTTTCTACTTGGGGACCAGCAGTTAGAATAATGGCTGTCACTGGACTCCCATGTAGTCAACTGCGGTTCGAGTCCTGGACCCGGTGGCTTAAACTCACATCGGGAGCGTGTGCATGTGTGCCCAAGATCCCAAGAGAATAGAGAAGGGATTGCAGCGCGGTCATCCTCCCTGGGTGTGTGTGGGGGTGATTTCTCACTTTCTGTCTCTGTCTTTCTGGTGAGTGCACACGCCCTATAGCAAAAACCTCTAATAAATAAATAAATAAAAAAGATTTTCTACTTGATAGGCAACAGTAGATGTTTAAAAAGAGCATCTCCCAGAAAGTTCTCCCTTCTAGAACTCAGTCTTTTGAATAGAAGTGTTTAAACTGTTTTAACAAAGATGATTGCAGGTGGTATGGTGGTTAATGCACTGGATTCCCACATAGCTGACAGTTCAAGTCTGAGACCCGACGGTGCCAGGCACATGTGCATGCATACTCAAAAATCTCAAGAAAAGAATGGAGGGGGTGGGACCAGCAGTTAGCATAATGGCTATGTTGCTGAACTCCCATGTAGGCGACCGCGGTTCAAGTCCCGGACTCGGTGGCTTAAACACACGCTGGGCACATGTGTGTGTGTGCCCAAGATCCAAAGAGGAGAATGGAGGAGAAGGGATTGCAGTATGGCCAGCCGTCGTCCCTGGGGGGTGATTTGTCGCTTTCTGTCTCTGTCTCTCTCTATCTTTCTGGTAAGCGCATGTGCCCTATAGCAAAAACCTCTTCAAAAAAAGAATAAAAAAAAAAAAGAATGGAGGAGAAGGGACTCCAGTGAGGCCACTCTTTGGCAGATAATTTCTTACTTTCCCTTTCTGTCTCTTTGCAGCAAGCATACCTCATCTATGGAAAAAAGCTACCAAAAAATAAAAAAATAAAAAAGATTCTTTTGCCTCATCTATACTCAGGTTACAGAAAAGTGGCAAAGTTTTGATGGATCACATAACTTCACTCCCATAACACAGGTACATTTCACCTACTGATGATTTTTTTGGGCAGAGGAGGACTGAATACACTAAAATAAATGTAACAATCTGAAAGTTTCATGTTTTCCCTCATTTCTACCAATATGTCAAGGGTACTTGGGGTCAAGGTGGTTCTGTACATATCTCTGCACTCAAATGTACAAATAGGCAATGGGACATTCATTGAATGTGATGGAGTGAACCTTTGTCTAACATAGATGCTTCTTTCCAGTCTAAATGCTACCTTCAGAGAATGATGATCGCTTTTGGATACCATGTAGTTATCTAGTGACTTCATGAAAAACAAGATAGCCAGCACTTATAATATCATGAATCCCTTCCAAAGATCAGAAGGATTGGTGGATGGAGTGCTGGGGTATTTCCTATCAACTACTGGGACAGCTGGTTTTCAGCTTGCCCTCAAGTTGGTTTGAGGGTTGCTAGGCAGCCAAGGTGATGTAGCACCATGGAAAACCCCCAACTTTTAGAAGGTATTTATAAAGCACATTTCTTGATCTGTACAGGTAACACTTCCTATATTGACCTATTATATCAAAAATTAATTTTTAAAAGGGAAATCCTTCAAGTCTAAATGCAGTAGTGCATGCTGCTATGACACTGCTCTGTAGGCTGGGGCCACACAAGAGGTATGGGTTTGATTCCCAGTCCAACTCAAAGACAGGGCATAATGGCATGTGCCTATAATCTCAGCAACTCAGGGAGGCCGAGGCAAGAGGATCACAAGCTTGAGGCTGACCTGGGCAACACGGCAAGACTCTGTCTAGAAAAAGAGGTGGGCATGGTGGTATATGCCTATTGTCCCAGCTGGGAGGCGAAGGCAGAAGAATCTTGACATGAGAAGAGCCTGTATTTTAAAAAATACAGAAAATGCTTCAAAATGAGAGTAGTTTTGATTTTGGAGACTAGAGATTCTTTTCTATACTTCCAAAAACGGAATAATTTCACCAGTAGTGCCATCATATGTAACATGAAACTGTACAACTCATACATAAACCAAATATTGAAGGAGGTAGCATATGGCCGCTTGAGCATATTGAATGTCACCATAAGAGGAAGCTATATCTTTCCCGGTCCAGTATGCACAAATTTAAAAATATGTATATACAGTAGTTTGGATTTTGTGAACAATTTGCAATATTTAAGTTCAATAGTGGTAAGTGCAAAGAAGTTTGATGGTGCTGTTTTAATAATTCATAGAAAGCATATATATGTACACCCAATGAATTCATCTCTTTATTGCATATTGCTATTTTTTTAAAAAAATGTACAGTCTTGTAACACATACGACATTTTTTTCTTCTTGGTACTATAACAACAGTCTTGCACCTAAAGACTAAGTGGCTTTGACTACTAAGCTAATAAGATACAAGACATATAATTAAGTTTACAAATTATAATGCTTTTTCTTTTTGGCATTAATTTAAAAACAAACAAAAACTTTAAAATACACACCCAAGAGAGAAAAGTGACTACTTACACCAGCACCAATCTAAAAAGTAGTTGTTTTTTTTTTTCTTTAACAATGGCACGTGGAATTACCTGCACACAGTTTTGGGGGAAAAAAACTAAAAATGGAAATGGCAAAAGAGGCCCACCAGGATGGCCATATCGAAATGAGGGCAAAATTAAAAAGGGCAAAAGGGACATGCTATACCAACTTGCTCCTTAAGGTGACTCTCTCTTCACTTGTCCTGTTCCTTGAACTGTAAGACAAAGCCATTTCCAAAACACAGTTCCAAAATGGAGCCAGATCAAATTTCTCCTGCTATAAATAGAAAAGAATACACATAGAGGCACTTTAGTTAAGGAACAGACAGAATCATCAGCATGTCCCCTTGTCCTCATCTCCCAGCCTTTTTGATTCTGGTCTCTGTCTGGACCTTCTACATGGTGTATTTGCAGACCTTGGGTAACATGGGTGGGGGGAATGACCTCTGCTTTGTACTTACAACTGTTTTATTTACTGGCATCATTAATTTCCATATAATACATAGCAAGTTGCTAAGTTTGGAATAAGGAAAAAAATGTAAAACCACAGCTCTTGACAACTCCTAGAGTACTATTTCACAGCTTTCACATAGCACAGATACCTCGCCATCTGCACTAAGCATTATAGTTTATACAAATCACTTTTAATAGTACGATTCCTGTACAGCGCGTACATTGGTAGTCTTCATCCCATAATATCCCCATAATAATCAGAACGTAAGCTCTTGAGGGGAGGGATTCTGTCTTGCTTACCACTGTAGTCCTACTATGCCTGGTACACAGTAGATGCTTAATAAATATTTGTTAATTGACAGGAAAAACTCAATTTAGCATGTAAATAATGTTCTAGTGCAACAGGACAAACTACTCTCTCCACAGGAAACCCAACCACAATAGGACTGATGGAAAGAATAAAAGAAAACTTTAGTCCCCCTCCCCAACTACAAATAAATAAAGCAAAGCAAAAAAAAAAAAAAAAAAAAAACAGAAGAAAAGTAACAGTCCTTTTTTATATATATCTTATAATTTAAAGATATTAAGAGTTGGTAGATTAATGGTAAGTATCTATATTTTATTTTCTAATGTTCATTGTTTTTATTCATTTCTCCCTGAGAGCTTTATTTGTTTGGACTGAAATTTTACAGGTAGCTTTACTGACATACAACTTAAAATGACAACGTATAAACAGCGAACCACTTCAAATATACTTAGAGATAAACAGATCTGGGCATCTCTGTTGACGTGGTTGACATTTTTGTGCATTATCAAAGTGGCCAGACCTATATTTACAGAAGATGCAGCTTGTCCTACAAAACAGAAAATAGAAAATACCAAAAAAAGGCACCCCATTAAAAAAAATTTTTTTTCCAATAATCTTTATCCCTTCAAAAAATGCTTCCTTTAAATCTTGGGTGGGAATTATATTTTTAAAGTTTATATATCTATATTGTTAGGACAACAAGCACAATTTGACAATTTCGTTCCTTAATAAGAACGCGGATTGCATTTAGATAGTGTTCTTTCTAAAAGCAATGTAAAGAAATCATCAAGAGTACTTGACTGAGAACTTGATGAAATTAGGGAGAAAAAAAACATCAGTGTTCAAAATATATACAAAACTTCTGGTTGACATTCTACATAACCCAAATCGTGTGCAAGAAGTTCTCCATAAACATGGACAGACCATATCCCCACACCAACACCAGAAATCCTAAGCTGGTCCTATGAATTACTGATGCGCGGCACCAGCATCACACTGTCAACTATCCAAACCATTTTCAGTCTGTATTTTCCCAACTCCAGTTCCACCAATGAAAATAATTCCAAAGTATACCAAGCTTGGAAACCCTAAAATATTTCTCAAGCCTTTTTCTTTTTTTTTCCTTTTAAAAGTTTTTTGTTGTTGTTGTTTTTAAATTTTACTCAAGGGAATGTCTCTGTCATCTCTTTCAGGAGATACTATTGTGCTTCTGAACAGTCACGGTGTCCAGGGGAAGAAAATGAGCCACACTCAATATGAATGCATACGCGAAGGGCTTCTGAGCACATACATCAACATAAAATATGTTAAACATACAGATAGATCTGCAGACAGCACTCAGACTTCTATATACATTTTTTTTAATATATATACACATACATTTACATACACGCACATTCACGCACCCACTCACAGATGGAAGAAGAAATTGCCACTGTTCGGATTGCAAGGCAGTGTGATGAAACCTTCTAGTCACTTCAAAGGGTGGCTCATCAGCTTCGTGAAAAAGTATTCAAGGAAAATTAGAAATTAAGTTTCGTGACTGGTCTCTCTCGGCTGCTGTCTGTCAACTGGTTGGTGATGCGCTTGCGATTCCGTTTCAGTTTGGAAAGGTCTTTGTCAAACACCTCTCCTGAGCGTAAAGCGGAAACGAGGTCATCAAACTCCCCGCTTTCTTCACTATTCTCTTTTGCCTTTCTCATTTTACGTTCCCTTTCACGTTGTTCTTTGAGCTGTAGATAGAAAGAAACCTCTTAAACCAGTGTTAAAATGTCTTTTGTTTTCAGTGCAGATGAATTCTGTGAAATGTGTTAATACTTCTGTCACACCAAGCTACCTTCTCCTAGAACTGCGAAGAGCTGAGAGGGTGGGGGGAACCAGCAGTTAGCGTAATGGCTATGTCGCTGGACTCCCATGTAGTCGACCGCGGTTCGCGTCTCGGACCCGGTGGCTTAAATCTCACGCAGGGCGCGTGTGCGTGCGTGCCCAAGATCCTGAGAGAAGAATGGAGAAGGGATTGCGGCGTGACCATCCCCCCTGGGGGGTGATTTCTCGCTTTCTGTCTCTATGTCTCTGTCTGTCTGGCGAGCGCACACGCCCT